GAAGCACTAAGGTTCACTATAAAGTCTGCAAGCAAGGAGTAGGTTAGTCTCCCCCACAGCCGCTTTCAGTGTCGTCACGCAACGCTTTCTCCCCTGAGTAGCTACTAGGAGTAGGTTGGCACTCACGGACGGACCTTTCAGTGTTGTGAAGAATCGAAAATCATGTAAATAAATAAATTCAAGAAAACATATCCTCTTCTACATTTGTTACAGAGTCTTTTAAAAAGAATTGTAGTGCTCAGATTGGCGACCCGATGCGGCTCAGCGCATATTAAACCCACACCATTTATCGTATGATTTTACTCGGCCCGTCTCGGAATCTATTCGTTCTGACTTCGTAACATTACCATATTCGGAAACGGTTACTAAGTATACAATCAGTCGAATGTGAACGGATTCAGAGTTCCGAATTTCTTTTTAGGATGGAAGAAATGGATGGAAACATAGAGTCAGGAAGCCCTACGATTGATACAGAAGATGAAGATCAGGTTTTCGAATCCAAATGTGATGAGGTAAAAAGCGTACGGTCTGGTGCGAATGGTTGGAACGTTCAGAAATTTTCATTACCCTTTTTCAACGATTTCGCTGTTAATATTCCCACTGAAGGGAATAACTAGCTCGTATTTCGGTTTTTTTTGTGAACTTGATAAACCTGATAATATTTTTGTAATTTTTGATCTAAATTTAAAGTACGAATCTGAAGATGAGGTCGAAAATGAGCGCTCAACTTCCATGGAAGAAGTACAGCAGCAAAACAAAGGTAAAAATATTAAAATTTAATGGTTTTTAAGGCTCCCTACTGAGTGAACCAGTCCTTGAAATTCGATATAGGATTACCAATCTGTCAAAATTTGATAGATGTTTTTCGTTGTCTTGTTGATCGGGGTTTTCATAAACAAACGACCTCTCTCGACCTAGAGACGAATTTGACAACATGATCGAAGCGGTAATAATTTTTATGAATTGTCGTCTAAAAAAGAAACAATTCCTAGAATTTAGTAATATATTCTTAATACTTATAGAAAAAAAAGAATATTTTGGTGCATTTTGAAATGATTTAGGATTTTTTTAGAATATTTCATTTTTAAAATGGGGATACGAATCAGTCGATGATTAATCGATCTAATCGATAATCGTTCGTGTCGTGCGGACGCCATTTGCTATCGATCGTACTGACTGTTTTTTTTAGCCATTTTAACCGCGTTTTTAATCCAAAAATAGTCTAAATGAGAGCCTAAAGGAATGAATAATCGTCAAGCTGAGGATAAAGGTACATTTTGGAGTTTATTTTAGTAATATTTGTGGCCATTTGCCTTGAATTTTGGAAGAGAAGTGTTGAGCGGCTCCCTTTGCGCTTCGTCTTGTTACTCAAATTTCAGGTATTTTTCCTTTATTTTTTTCGAATTTTTAAAATTTAAACCCTAAATCCTGATGAAAATCCCTAAATTTCTTAAAATAAATACATCTAAGATATTTTCGTAGTAAAAATATTTAAGTTTTGACTTTTTTTTAGCTTTGAGATGTAATTTTTATTTTCGTGCAACTCGGGTTACTCACGATTGATTTTCAACTTTTATCGCGAAAAAACTAAACTAGAAGAGTTTTCGACCTAAAATGACCAAATTTCCTTTGTTTAGAAGACGTATTCTGGTAAAAATTTATGGTGTCTTCTATTATTTGACAATAACAATACAAAAACAATAATAATCAGCCGAAGGGAATTATTTAAACTACGGTGGAGGAGAGTCCAATTTTGAATAAAGTAAAATCGTGATGAAAAATGACTCAAATTCTTCACTATAAATTTATACATTTTACCTCCTTTTTCCGTATTTATGGTCTTAACTTATAGATTATTCGTCTTTAGTTTGATTCTGGATTAAGATTAAAAAATAATCGACCCACGAAAATTATTTTTGTCGCGTCTACGTAAATACTCTCTGTAAAAATTTTCCGAAGAAAACCTCGACTTCGAACTTATTTTTTTATTGTTTTATCACATTATATTATTTTTGTCAAAATACACCTGTTTCCTTAAATATTCCCATCCCGGGTAATCTAGAGTTGTTTTGTTTGGGTCTTTACCAAATACCGCATTTTCTATTATTTTTTRACCAGTTCAGAGGGGGATTATAAATTATTCCGGGTTGACAACAGAGGGAAAAGCCTTCAAAATGCTCAAAAAATCCCATCAATTTTGAGGAATTTAAAGGGGATTTTTAAGCTTGATCGCAACTAAAATACAAACAATACAAGCTTCAGAAGCTAGGAATTGCTTAGAAAAACAAAATGTCGAATTCTGATGATGTTTTTCTCGATAATCAAGCAACTCGCAAACGGAAAAGGATCTTTCGTTCATTCAGCTTAGGTAAGAATTTCCACCTAAATGCAAATAATAGTTCGCAATTTGAGCTTAAAAATAAGCTTATAAATCTACCTCAATATTTCCTAATGCTATTGAAATTGTCTTGCAATTTTTGACTTTGAAAAATATTAATATCAAGATAGTGTTACTGTAGTTAAAAATTCAAAATGAGATTATTTATGCACTCTAAGAAATACTTAACTTTATTTTTTATCTTTTCACGCTACGTATTGCGTGCTTATTATTATTTTTAACAAATTCTTGCACATACGATTTTGACATTTAGAAATAATACATAGATTTAAAGCTTTTGTCTAAAAATCTCTGGGGATTTCAAAGACATCCATATATTGCTTTAAATATTCAAAATGCCGGTGCAGGAAATCATTTTAATCTTTCCTATTTGTATGACTGGTTTTCAAGTTAAAATACGATAATTATTATCCAAAAATGTTAAAACTGAAAGATTTGTTTTTGCAAACTTTGAAKCCTTCATGTTTTGTYTTAAACTCTTKAATAGATGATTTATGCAAAATGATTATGAAAATATAAATTTTTTTGATAAAAGTAACAAAATTTTGATCTATTGTGTGATAAGGAGGTTGGTATATGGAGAATTTAGGACACTTAGATTTGTTATTCACAACAAAAAAGAGCAAAAAATAAAATAAAAAAATAGGACAGTAAAAGTGAAAATACACAGCCATTGTTTTAAACTTTTTAATGTAAAACTTTGTTAAATTTATGCCAGAAAAAGTATTTTGTTCACTAGGAGACTGTAACAGACTTGCTAAAACATAAATTTCCCTTACGTTATGTTGAGTCCTGCAGGCTAGYTGAGYTTCCTGKCTCAATTCCTATGAAGTGAGTGTCATATATCGTAAATATAAAATGTAGCTGAAGTTGGAATGAACCTCACGGAAGAGTAAAATATAAATCCAATGTTTGAATAGAATTTGTTTGCACATAATAGAGTATTTTCACTCACGTCACAAGTCAGCCATACTTGTGTAACAAACAATAGAAATTTTCTGCATAGTTTTTGCATAAAAATAGAGTTGAATTCCCTGAGGACAGAAAATGTATTTCTTTGAGTACACCAACATGGCCGCTGTGACGTCACAAGAAAAAGGTCTATAAATTAAAGTATTATGTAAAAATCAAACTCAATTATTTCGGTTTAGGAGAGAATTCTTTTCGTATTCAAGCAGTGAGCGCCAAAAACTATTTTCTTGAAGAAAGCCTGTTGTACAAGGCTAATATCTTGTTATTCAGAAAGTTTAACTTGATTGGAAGTGGGGATGACCGATGAAAGTGGAATCAAAGTGTTAACCCAAAACAAATATTTTATTCGAAAATGAGGTTTAGGCCTTCATTTGCTTATTTCCCATATATTTTCTATAAAAAAGCCTGACAAAGCAGCATTCTAACACAAATGCAACAAAACATCTTTGTACAATTTATCTTAGTACATCAGTTTCTAACTGTTTAAAAAAGGAAAATTGGGATCAMAACTCATACGAAAGTCTAGTTTTTGGTGCTTTTTGCCATTATTGCTCATTATTGAAAAAAATTTCCTCTTAATRTTATTGTAGACATTTTATAGACTATGAATCTAGAATCTGTTTAATATTAATATACAGTATTTCAATCTATTTCATAACCTTGATTGAGCTTGACATGATAAATTAAATTGAGGATGAATTAGGATGGGGGGAGGGGAGGGAGGTGGTAAATCAAGTGGCTGTTCCACTATTTCCATTATTATCAGGGCTTAAAATAATGGCCGATTGATCAGTCACCGAACATGGTCATAGTCAAAAATAGTTTTAACTTAATCATACCTCATTTCTGGCTCAACGTTACTGGTCAAAATGACCAGCAAGGCAAAGAATTAACTGGACAAGTCCCAGTTCTGGTTGGACATTGYCCGATGTCCGGCTGTTATTTTAAGCCTTGATTATCRTTATTTTTCAACTCCAAAGGGTGATGACTATTCACTCAAAATAAATAATCAACAAAAAATAAATAATAAGGTAAAAGGATGCTAAGYGATGCATTTCTAGCTATCAAGCACCCCCTTGAAATCTTTTTGGTTCCACTATTTTAAATGTATTTTCTTCAGATAATACAATTATCATGTAATGTTCTAAGCACATTGTTGCCGATTGGCAACAGATGTTCTTGGCCAATCAGAGGCAAGATAGTATTTCATATTATCATATGACCCGTACGGCCCTGTGTGTGCGCTCTAATAAAACCATTGGAAAAAGTCACGTGATGGGGGCCGGACGGCTTTGAGCGAGCAGGGCCGTACAGATGTGTACGGCCCTGCTCGAATCGGCGCGCTTTCTCTTTTTTAGCTTTTATTTACTTTTTCTTTCTTTCTTTTATTTTTCATTGAATTTTTCGTGAGGATCATATGATAAAATGCTTATTGACTGATATAGGTCGGGCCGTACGGGAAAATATTTGGCTCTTGGTCATTTGTATGGACCTCGCTGCGCTCGGTCCGTAYRGCATCACCTCGAGCCAAATATTTTCCCGTACGGCCCTCCYACTCAGTCAATAAGTACATAGAATGTATATTATAGAAATTATAAGACTTGGATTTAGGCTAGTTAATACTCTAGGTTCTTTAGTATTCCTACCTTAGAACTTTGCAACACCTAAAGCAAGCTAATTCCAATTCAATCTGTACATCAAAATTATGTAGCTATGCCCTGACTTTGAACATTTTAGCGGTGTTTCAGGGTTCAATCTGYGAGTTAGCTGTGCCCTGACTTGGATCAGCCCAGAGGTTGTTTCAGGGTTCAATCTGTGAGTTAGCTGTGCCCTGACTTGGATCAGACCAGAGGTTGTTCCAGGGTTTGATCTGTGAGTTAGCTGTGACCAGACTTATACTGATCAGCCCATAGATTGTATTTTAGGCATCGATCTATGAGTTAGCCATGCCCTGACTTAGATCAGCCCAGAGKTTGTTTCAGGGTTTGATCTGTGAGTTAGCTGTGCCCTGATCGACTTAGATCAGCCCAGAGGTTGTTTCAGGGTTTGATAAAAAATAAAGATTTTCTTTATACTTCTCTTTTCAGCTGATACTGCTCTGTTAAATTCTTTCTCGCGATCAAGGAATAATGATGGCACCACAGAAGATAAAGGCGATGGAAGTATGTCAAGGACTCACTCAGGTAAAAATGTGATAGTTTGACCCTCGTCCTCACATGCTTGCTTTAAGGAGCAAGTGTGGCTTGGTTGGTTAGTGTGCTGCCTGCTAAGCAAGAGGTCCATTGTTTGATCCTCAGTCACCTCACACACTTGTTTTAAGGAGCAAGTGTGGTTGGTTGGTTAATGTGCTGCCTGCTAAGCAAGAGGTCCATAGTTTGATCCTCAGTGACCTCACACACTTGTTTTAAGGAGCAAGTGTGGCTTGGTTGGTTAGTGTACTGCCTGCTAAGCAAGAGGTCCATAGGTCCATAGCCACTTGATCTGACATGGGAAAATATTGTAAACAAGCTGAAATGGTCTATTGCTYTTCATTCCCAACTCTCTTTTTATTTCATGTTCACTTAAAAAGTAAAAGCTTTTTCACAWGTAYGAGAGGCTAGTCAGTCCAGTGCTTAAAATAACGGCCAATCAGCTGTCAATCATGATCATGGCCCATATATTAGTTTTAGCTTGGTCAGACCTCATTTCAGGCTAAACAATACTCTGGTGAAAATGGCCGACAAGGCAAACATTTGAAAGGGCAGTCCCAATGTTTTTTTTTTAAGCCCTGCAGTTTAGAACMATAGTTATTCAAATGAGTTATGCCATATTTGAGTTCAAAGTWTACATCTCCATGTTATGAGGCTATATAGCCCAAATTCCGAGATTTGATTTCTTTTGTATTTTTCTGTTATTCTTTTACATGGTATTGAGAGTGGTGTAATAGACTGTTAGCATGATGGCGTCATTTGACTCCCACTACCAAAATGCTTCCCAAATTTTCTTTCTTATTCAAATTTGTATTTCCTCATGAGAAAAGTAAGACAATTGCTGCTAATTAACTGAAAAAAATAAAGAGTGCAAGGGATTCTGGTAGTGGTAGTAAATGATGCTATAATGCAAGAGACCTTTACTCTTAGATTTGGGCCTCATCCACACACATCTGGATATTTAAAAAAAAAATCCTAAATTGAGGATTGGGCCAAACAAAAAATAAGTGTGTTTCCTGTTGTACGACAGACTCTATTTTCCTTGCTGATTTTTGCCAACCCTAATATTTTTTTCATTCCCAAATGCACCACAGGGTTCCCCAGTAAGCTCATTTCCTGTGGTATCAGTAAAACAAATCGGACCTACCGGCCCCAATTTTATTTTCCTCATGCAACAGGAAACACACTTATTTTTTTGTTTAATCTTGGCCTTYCATTCACACATATCCGTTGAATGTGCCACTTAATTGAAGACACAACTTTTTGAAACCTGGTAGTCATGGAAAGGTGAAGAGAAAGACGCTAGATATGGAAAATAATTTTTTGATAATGTATGGATATGTGTAGASAACACTGCACCTTAAACTATACAAATTAAGAGGAATTTTTTTCAATAATGAGCAATAATGGCAAAAAGCGCCAAAACTAGACTTTCGTATGGGTTTTGATCCCAATTTTTTCCGTTTTGGGTTAACACTCAAAACCTTTTTTTAACAGTTAGAAACTGATGTACTATGATAAAGTGCCTGTTTGAAGCAGTATTTTCAATCATACAAAGATGTTTTGTTGCATTTGTGTTAGAATGTTGCTTTGTCAGGCTTTTTTATAGAAAATATACAGGAAATAAGCAAATGAAGGCCTAAACCTCATTTTCAAATAAAATTTTTGCTTTGGGTCAACACTACCTTTGATTCCACTTTCATCGGTCATCTCCACTTCCAATCAAGTTAAACTTTCTGAATAACAAGATTTTAGCCTTGTACAACAGCCTTTCTTCAAGAAAATAGTTTTTGGCGCTCACTGCTTGAATACGAAAAGAATTCTCTCTTAATTTAATTGTCATCAAGGAAAATGTTAAACCTACATTCAATTGCCRAAAGAACAGAATAAGTTTCATAAAAAGGTGATTAATTTTTAATAACTGTGCTATTTATTATGACTGCCGTTAATTTTCATTTTATTAATCATTTAAACTTTCTCAGCCTTTTTTAAAGCTATATATTAAATTTACATAAAATTTTTGAATCACATTTGAATGAATAGCCAAGAGACTTAAATTGTTAAATGCTCGAAAAAAAAATTTTTTTTCAATTTGATCATAAGGTATAACTACTTGAAATGTTTTTAAGGCTCAGTAAATATCAGGGAATATTTACCTCGCCGCTCAAAGACTGGCATMTCYATAAATATTCCCTGATACTCACTTCACTGTAAACATCAATCTGTGAAAATGTTAGAGACAAACATTTTCAGGTATTRTTRTGAATCCTGAATTCAGGGTTCATGCTACTCCTTGAAATCCTTGAAAACTCCTTGAATTGAAAACACGTTTTTAAGGGCGCTTGAAAAGCCCTTAAAAATAGATAAAATGCCAAAACTCCTGGAATACCCCTTGAATTTAATGCAAACATAATGCTATTTCTAACTTTCCTTTTAAAATTGATTGAAGAGTTTGCATATATTTCGTAAATAGTCTAGCTGAATATCTGGGTACTTCTGGTAAGAATACGTATATTAAAGATCTATTTATCTAAGCTAGTGGCCCCGGCTGAATTAGCTGCACTGTAACATTGAATCAATGTTTAAACCACGTTCTAATACAAAAAACTTTGTCCTTGAAAATCAAATTTTTGTGCTTGAAAAGTGCTTAAAAAGTCCTTGAATTTTGTAACGAAAATGTAGCACGAACCTTGTGAATTCGATTATAGTATTTTTCATCATAACAAAATTATTATAATGTTATCCATACCTGTGAAAAACCATTTTTAGTTGCTATTAATAAATTTGATTATACATGTAGCTTATAGAAATTTCCATATATATCATTATTTTCTTTACACAAATGTTTAAAAAAACGTCACAAAACTAACCTCAAAACCTGTGATAATTATCTATTATTTATGGCTAATTTTTGATTGGCTTTTTTAGAAAAACATCATTCTCTATTTTACATTAATTTTAAAATCTATTGGGGAGAATTCTTCACTAAAATCCAAACACTTAATTTTCAAATATACTAGTATTTAAATTAGAGATTTATATGCCTTGAACTCTAAATTCTATAGGTTTTTTTTTGGTACTGGTTCACGATCTTAAAGTTGGTTTTAGATAAGGGCTGTACCTACCTCTGACAGTTATCTTTATCTAGAATCTCCCAAAGTCTACCTTGAATATATTGTTGTTGGTGTTGAGCTTAGCTTGATTTTTGACTTTGATTCAATTTTSTCCTACTCAAAGCTCTTTCTGTACTTAAAAAGATAAAAATAATATTCAAATCTGGTTTATATTGACTGTGATTATGTCCAACCGAAAAAAGAGTCCTGAAAAACTCAGAGGTAAACCTCTTAATTTTTTTCAATTTTTTT